AAGCAGAGAGAGAGGCAAAGAGTCTGATGAAAGATGAAACCTTTCAGATTATGCTGCCAGTAACCCACACCCTTTAGCTATACCCTACTGGCCTACAGTTACCATTCAGTTAATCAATTTAAAATAGGATGGATGGTCTAGATTACTGCTCTTCTAATCTAATAATTTTACATCCTGCATCAACACAGATTCTTTAGGAGGATAATTCATATATAAATCATAATAAGAAGTGTCAATAACTTGACATTGGTGGTGATAATTTTAAGATATTTATTGGAAATCTGTTGAATAAATACAGGAAGGTGAGAGGAAAGGTCAAGTTTGGACATGGAAATGTGGGAGCTGACCAAGTGCTGGTTATATTTAACCTATGAAACCAGAGTCTTCTTATAAAAGGAGCAGTATCAATAGAGAGCAGAATAAGATGAGGATTAGGCCCTGACTGACTCTCTCAACCACAGAAGATTACTGAGTAATGAAGTAGGGGTGAAATTAGGAGGGTATAAAGGGCTCCAAGTAAAGGAAGTGTTTCAGAGAAGAGTCTGTAGTTAACCTGGTCAAATGCCTGTAAATCCCAGCAACTCAGTAGGCTGAAGTAGGAGAGGGCAAATTCAAGGCCAGCCTCAGAAAATTAGCTAGACCCTGTCTCAAAATAAAATGAAATAAAGTAAAATAAAAGGCTGGAGATGTAGCTCAGTGGTAAAGCACCCTTGGGTTCAATGCAGTACTTACTGCAAAAAGAAAAATAAATGCTGCTGCTAGAAAAGACAATATGAGTTGTCAGCATTCATAATTGGATTTAGCAGTGATGGGGCCGCTGCTGAGCACAAGAACAACAGGTTTTTAGGAGATGAGGGGTGGAAGATTGATGAGAAGATTTTCAGGAAAAAGAAAGAATAAATGTAAAAATTGAAAGACTGAGTATAGAAGATGGTGTCAAGACATTTTGCCATGAACAATAGTAGAGAATTGGGTGTTTTCTGGAGAATGAAGTAGACTCAAGGAGTTTATTTGCCTTTTTTCCCCATTTTTAAGATGGGAAAAATTAAATAATGTTTGTATGCTGATAAGAATGTCCACTAGGGAAGGCAAAAATTATTGGTGTGGTAGGGAGAAAGGGAACTTTTTGAAGTCATGTCTCAGAGTGGGAGAAAAAATGGGAAGGATAGTTCAGCCCTTGCAATGGGAGAAAAGGCTCTGTGGAGACAGATGGAGGTGGGTGGATAAATGTGGGTGCTGGTTCTTGTAGAAAATCTCCTCTATGACTCAGTTTTTTTTTTTTTTTTTTGAGTGAAAGAGGAATCAAAGAAAGCTGTTAGAAGTTTCCATTTATTTTAAGAGTGAATGGACTCAAGGATTGCAGTATGATTGCCTACCAGCACCAAGAACTGAAAAAGGGTTTGTAGACATAAATGCAAAGTGGGATCAGTCAGCATGAATTTTTTTTTTAAACAAGCACAAATAGACTTTGGATTTAATTAGGGTTGAGGTATTGCCATTTGGATACTAGAAAGGAAGAGAAGGTCAGTGGAGATGAGGAGTTAAGCAGGAGAGTGATCATAATATAAGGCAAGTGAGGACATGAATACCCAGGTTATCCCATTATTCCTAAAGATTTACCATGTAAGCAACGGCCTATGTGGCTTACAAGTAAAGCTCTCCTTATATGACATTTTTCTTCCATTTAGCAGTATGGCTTGGAGAGAGGTTTGGGAGAGGGTGGTGCTTTGAGGGGGAAAATCACCAATAGAAACACTGGAACACATTTGTCAACCAACCAAATATGATTCTTGGGTCTCAATTAAAGAATGGATAAGACCCTGGAGATACTGATGGCTACTTTTCAAAAAATTCAAGCTTTTCATGTTAAAATGTATCAGAGGAAATATTTGTTAAAAGTATAAGCTTACCTAATGGTAACTTTTTACTTAGATTACTTGGGTTGACATAGATATTTTGTGCAGGAGCTGGTCAAAAAATTTTACTGAGAGTAAGAATTCCACATGGAAACACATAACTGAGATTTCTACTTCAATGAACTTCTTTGTGTGTTATCCATTACACTTAATACTACTTTTCATTAAAATTATAACTGAAACAATTCCTTATATATGTATGTATTTACCCATAGAAGAAAAAACACCATAAAACATGAATACGCTGTCACTCCTGCTAGAGATTCCTCAGTAAAATTAATATTTTAGGTACTCAGTATTGGCTCTGTGCATTCGAATGTTTTTTAGTTAGTCTTTTCTGAATAGTTTAGAGAAAGACAACATTTCCTTATTATATATTTCTAAACAAGTTAGATATTGTTTTGTAGGAATAATTCTTAGATTTTTGAAGAATCCCTAATGTTTTAAAAATAATGAGAGGGCTGGGATTGTAGCTCAGTGGTGCAGTGTTTGACTAGCATATGCAAGGCCCTGGGTTCAATCCCTGTCATAAACAAACAAACAAATAAAATTCACAGTTTCTTCATTGATTTGTTACTTCAATTAAATTTCGCTTACTTATATGTACATTTATTGAATAAATACACTGATGTTTTGTATAACAGAAAAATTGACTTAGCAATGATATTTTAAAACTGTTTTGAAGTGTCTATGTCTTGACAAAATTTTTACAGCTAACAAACCACATTTTATAGAACATATTTAGGATACTCTGTGATGGGGAAAATATATATGTATATATAATTTTAAATTTTCCAACTGTTATGTATTACAAAGACAAAATTTTTCTTGTCCAGTAATGACTAAGCTGTCACCACAACTGTTTTTTTTTTAAAAAAGCACCTTTTTCCCTCTGAGAATAAACTGATATTTTTCATAAGGCTCTCCATTCACAAAAAGTTGGCTTTCCTGCCTATAAAATGAATCCCTATGCATGAGTTGTGTAGGTAGAATAAAATCTATAATAAGACTTTAAGAGTATCATTTTCTGAGTCAGGTAGATTTATGCTCAGCAAATTTAAATTTTTTATTATTTCAATTTTGTCATCTGTCTTCCTCTTATATCCTCGAATAAAATATTATATACAAGATAACAGGACTTTGTTTAACAAAGACTCTCTAATGCCCAACACTCAGAGGATCCTTAATAAATATTTGTTGAATTAATAAATATATAAAATATATATTTAGAAGAGTATAAGAATAGCAATTACATAACTGGGACATTTTGAAGATAAAGTGACTTAATACATGATGAATACAGACATAGTCCTGAATAATCTTATTGGGAAGGTTCTAGAGAAGCCAGAGTAAGTTTGTCTTCTCCATCTGACCTCTATTGACCTTTTAGACTATGGATGGGATGTATACGAGGACTAATGGCCCTATGCAATGCTCTAGCACCCATGTCTGTGGGTAAGAGGAAAAATATTTATTCATACTCATATCTCCTAAAGATATTACAATATTTAGAAGTGCAAAATAGTCAAATGAATTAAACCACTTCAGTATATAATAAAAACTCATGCCATCAATGAAATTTTTTTCAGAGCTTAAGCATGCATACCTGAAAACACGAGGTAGTGCATGTAATATTTCATTGCTTTTAAGATATATACTATAATTTTTTACAGATCCAAAAATATGGATTTCTTTTACCATCAATGGCATCTTGTAATTTGGCACCTTTCTTTCTTTCTTGGTAGTTCATAGGATAGTAGGCTGTCTTAACATTCAGTTAACGAAGCATATTAGGGCATGTATTAAAGCAATGTTTTTCTATATTTATTTCTCACCATTAACTACCAGCAATGAAGTTTCTGGGTATTTTTATAATTTTCCTCCCTATGAAATTTTAGTATTGCAGATATTCTGTATGTATGTTTATGTACTATGTGTATATTTGAGCTTTATGCATAAAAAGAAGACTTCCCCCACCCAGGAACCAATTTTCTTCCCTGTAGGGGCTTTATTACATATACTGAGAAAGCAGGCAGTAAAGTTATCCATTCCTTGTTATTATTATTATTTTTAAAAATCTCATTTACTAGAATATTTGGAATCATGAGCTGGTTCTTAGCTTAAGAGTTTTTGGCTTTAATTATGTAACAGAATGTCTAGGAATTTTATTATTATCATGAATGTCAAAATGCTGTCAAAATGCCTGCAAAGTTTGAACATTTGCTATTTACCCCAACAGTCAGAAAGCTGTCCATAATATTTTTTTTGTTAACAAATAAAAGATCTTCAAGTTCATCCAATGATGTCATTCAACATATTCTCATTTTATGAAATAAGACCATTTAATAATTTCAACATATAAATTTAGGATGTCACTACTTCACTTTTACATATTCATGATGTTGAAGACATAATATATCCATAATGAGACATTTTAAAAACCATCTGATTTTTATAAAGAACTAAGAAATATGCATATTACACTCAGCTGGGAGAGTGAAAATGTGCAGTTCTCGAAGTCTGTGCAGACTCATCTTCTACAGTACTTAGCAGTCTAGTTCTCCCACCTGCAAGATTAATAATGGGAGGCAGAGCTTGATCCATTTGTGACTAGCGGTTTGCACCACATGGTATATAGGGACACCATCTATGACCACTAAGTCAGATTTTTCTCTTGCAAAGCTAATTGTTACTCAACTATTTTAACTGATGGAGAAAGGAGTAATTTGCTTTGAGAATGTCTTTAAATAGCAAAGATGTTCAGTGTGTTCTTAAATGTTCAGCTATCTTTTCTCTGGTCTAGGTAGTTTAACTGCCATTTAAAAAAAATTAGAGGAGCAAAAACTTCTAAAATTGGTGATGTGTAAAACTTAACTTTATTATATGTATCACAATGATATTATTTAATATTTTGACAATTCAGACATGTGTATATTGTCTCAATTTTATTTTGTTGTTCTTTTAGAGATTCAACTGTGTCAAAAATGTATAATTGCTATGAATTATGTGAAATATTCTAGGAGACCAGGTAAGATATCAGCAAAAATTAAGATGTATAGTGCTGAAGAGATTCTTCATCAGTAATACAGATATCCATGTCAAGGCTTTATCAATCTGATTAATCGTACACAACTTTTATAGATAAATTAGAAGTCAATTTAAAACCAGAAATCATCTCCCCCGCTGCTCCTTGTACTTGCTCTTTCTCTGCCTTTTAATCGAAGCATCTCCATTATACTCCGGGCATAGACATCTCTCAAGTTAACGCTGATATATGAGTCAGTGGCTATATTCTTGGTAAGCTTCTTCAGAGCTTCACGCTGTCTAACAGCTGCTTCCTTGAGTTTCAAGGTGAAGTAGCAAGCAGAGAAGCGATCATTAATAATAGCAATAGGCAAGGCCAAGACAAGGATTCCTGATAATATACACATGAAGGCCACAATTTTGCCTGTGGTAGTGTCTGGTCTAATGTCCCCATAGCCCACGGTAGTCATGGATGTTGTAGCCCACCACCATGCACAAGGAACGCTTGTGAAAGTTGTGTCAGGAATGCTTTGCTCCGCAAAATATTCTATGGTTGAAAATATAGAAATTCCCACAGATAAAAATAAGAGCAGTAGGCCGACCTCTTCATAACATTGGGTGATTGTCATCCCAAGTGAGCGCAATCCTGCAACAGAACAACTGCTGTCAATCATCATTAGCACCCCTCCTCTCTCTCCCTTCCCCCTCACTCCTTGATCTCCACCCACAAACATGCACTGTCCACATAATATGTCCCCAGCACTGGGCAATGTTTGGGGATACAAAGATGATTATATCATGACGTCTGTCTTCCAGAATCATGTAGTTTAGTTGATGAGGATAGAGAAAAATATAATTGGCTTATGTAATTACTGAACTTCTACTATGTATACTTAAAACAGGAAGAGGAATGAGACTAACAGGCAGGGAGAAGGTGTATGAGAGGAATTTTGTACTTTACATAGTGAGAGACCTTTGTACTGTTGCATTTGGAAGGTGCATTTGGTCAAACTCACATGTGAATGCATCATTTCAGACTTCTCTCTAAAACCAGTTTTATGTTGTTTTCATACTTTGTGTGTATGTCTGCTTTGTCACCCTCTTGATAAAGTTTAAAACAACCAGGTGCCTCATTATCTGAAAGCCAGAGTAACTAAACCTTTTTTACCATACCAATGAAATAAAGCACAGAAGCAAATTAGGTTTTGACACAAGAACCTCACAGATATATTCAGGGGACATTCTTTGTTGTGTATCAAGTCAAGGTCCTTGCACTACCAGGACACCCATTGAAATCCTAGTCTTTAATATCAAAACTACAGGGAATTACTTCCCTGAGCACATAACATTTCTGCTTTTCTGTAAGAAAACAGTTGAATATAGAATGTTCCTCCATTGCAAAAAGGTACAAGAATGGAGCCACTGGTAAATTTAATCAATAGGAGGCACTGGAGGGGTCCCATGGCTAGATTCTGATGATTCATTGATCCCCTGGGAGACAGACCCAAGAGATTCCAATTCCACATGTGAATGTATTAAGCCCATTATAAACCAGGCTTTAAATTAACCATAGATCACCCTCCTAATGCTAGAGAGATACTTCTAAAAGTTTAAACACATTTTGAAGACATGGCATCACAATGACATTGCCCCAGAAGTCCAAAGCATTACCTTTTAGAATCATTTTTTATTCTGATTAACTCACTTGAGATTATTCAAGATGTAGAATACTATTCATGCTCTCATTGTTTTGAATTTTGCTCTTCAAATTTTGAGATATTCTTGTATTATTAACCAGCTATTTTTAAAGACCAATGAATATTAATTTTGAGATTTAACTTCAAAAGAATATCTTTTAGAATACATTTATAACACCTAGTTATAAAACTTGCCTTGATGTGTCTATATGGAATTACATTTCTGAAGTAAACTGACAATATGAGAAGAAACATTGTGTTTGTCTGAGAAAAGTGTTTTTATTTAAAGATGAAGTGCTCTAAACAGTTTTGTTAAGAAATATAAAGGGGGCTGAATGTCTACCATGTTCCATCTCTTAACTTAGATGATCCTCAAAGATATATGACAGGTGTTGTCATTGCTGTACAATTTTACATAAAAGGAGGCTCAGGCATAGAGAGGTAGTTTTATCTAGTACAAAGCTACAAAACCAGCCTTTAAATTTAGGCAGTCTGGCCTTCTAACCATTATTTTGTAATACATCTTTATTCATAATTAATATGTGGGGATATATGTCATCTACATATATATCTACATTTTGCTGAATGTTATGCTTCAGGGAAAATTATCAAATATTCATGAAATTGTCATATATTTTTAATAAATTAAGGCTTTATTAATGATTTATACTTGTTTATTACTGAGAAAGCTTTTGAAGAGGTGACACTATGAAAATTACTATTATTTTCCTTTTCCTTTCTTTTGAGAAAAAAAATGTGGTCTTTGCTCAGTGTTTTTAAAACTGAATACTGTGAAGAGTTTATAAATACTCAAAGAAAGCATCCCATTATGTGTGTCAGAAAATGAAGAGTAGAACTTATAAAAGTAGTTAGAAACCCCATTATCAAATCCCTGGCTATGAGACTAGCTAGGAAAATACACACCAAAATTATATTAGAGTGAGTTCTAATTTACCATAAAGTAATAGGAAAAAAACCACAGAGGTTTATTTGTCCCTTATATTTATAGGGAGAAACTACTATCATCATCCCCTTTAGGTGGCTAGTCAGGGACATCTATATGGAAATAAGATTGGAAAAGGAATCTCTAGCCAACTCATTTGTAACAATATGTATTTGTATTAATATGTATTGTATTAATATGGCATCCCCAAAAGTATGGTCCAGGAACCACTGATATCAAATCACCTTCAAACTTATTGGAATGGATCCAACCCACATACTAAACTCTCTTTCTGGGAGTTGGGGTTTAGAATCTACATTTCAACAAGTTTGGGGATTCTTGTTTTCCCTAAGGTATGACATAGATAACTTACATATTACTGCAGAATGTTCAACAGCTTCAGGACCAGCTATTGAGAACAATTGCATTCAAGAACTGTCTTTAATATTCTGTGTGACTTGCACTGATATCAACTATAATTTTCATGTATAATCATATATATGTATTGTGTTGTGTGAAAAATTTTCTAGGGAATGTTCATTTGATTTTCAAAGTCTCTATAACACACAAAAAATTAATGACTTCTTGTTTCTTCTCTCTCTGAAGAACAAGAAAATTCTCAAATACTAGCTAAGACATTTAAGTAGAGTCTTCTCTTTCAAAGTAATATATTTCCATTGCTACTTTAAAAATTAAGGAAAGGTCATCAGCACCTGGTTATCTCTCTTCCTCATGATCAGGGAAGGCTCTGGAGGAATGACTTTTTCTTCTGCCATATATAACATATATGGCAGAAGAAATATATATATATATTATGAAGAGAGAGTGTGTGCACACACTTCTCAGGTATAGACAACAAACTAGCTTATGTTCCTAACATTATATAATTACTGTGCATGTATTTGTGTTATTTATGCATGCTTTGTCTAAAACTACCTAGAGGCAGAGTCTTTAATTTTTGTACATCATCTTGACCTTGGGTTTCAATAAATTGAAGTTATCAAATGGTCAAATTGTTCCTCAACATCTTATGAAGAGAAAATGTGTCAGAGATACCTTTTCCTCTATATCTGCAATAACAACTTTTAAGATTTTGCTTCCCAGTATCTCTTAAGAGGTCATATTTGGGTAAAGCATGATAACTGTCAGTTTCACATATCAATTCAGAGTGGCTTTCTGTGTACTGTGGTCAAATCACTAATGGTTGATGACAATGGCATATTAAAAAAGCATCAATGAAATTTGAATACCTGTGGAGTGCCTGCCCAGTTTTAGCATTCGTAGAGCCCTGAGCAGCCTCAAAACCTGGACGATGCGTCCCACATTTTCCAGCTCTTGTGTGGTCTGGCTGCCGCTCAGGCTTTCTACCAAGAGAGTGATGTAGAAGGGCAAAATGGCAAGGAGGTCAATGATGTTTGGCACCTTTCTCAGGAAGCGGCACCTGTCCCGCACACACAAGAAGCGCAGGACAAACTCCCCGGTGAACCAGCTAATGCACACATACTCCAAGATCTCCAGCAGCTGCAGGTTCAGCCAACTTAATTCAGCTGACATCAGGGCCATATTGACGATGGACACCGCCACGAAGATGATGGAGATGACCCCAAAGATTCGGGCAGCTGTAGAAGACCCAGGTTTCTCCAGGATATTCCAGAGCTTCTGGCGGACAGTGGGACAAGGTCCTTGTGAGAAGTCCTGTTCACTTTCATGTTGGCTTTCCTGATCATCTGTGTCCTTCTTAAAGTCTAGAGTTTCACTCAGCTCCTTTCTTCTGAAGTATCTTTTAGAGAAGACAACTTGGTGATTAGTTTAACTTTAAAAAAATACAGAAGTAGAAGAGAAACTTGACAGGGAGGTCATACTTTTATTTCAGTTAAAAAAAAAAAAGTCTATTCATACTTTACCCAGTTTGTCTCCTGCCCACAGCAATTGAGAATTTCTCACTTAGGATCATGATTTTTAAAGTGACATTTTCTTAGTAGGAGTTTATGCAAAAGGATTTTAGACATAACAAAGCAACTGTGGATCAATGCATTTTTATTACCCATGTTCTGATAACAAGAACAGCTGTTTGCCATATGGAACTTTGTTGTGTGTAAAGGAAAGTTATTCATGAAGAAATGGTAGTAATGACAAGATAACAGCAAAGTCCCCATCAAAGCTCTACCATCATCCAGTGAAGGAACCAACTTTCCTTCTGTATTTAAAGCAGTTCTCCATGCAAGTTTTTCAAAAAGTTAGTGTCCTAGATGTAACAGTGCTCTATACCAACACCTTCACCCCTAGATTTCTTTCGAAGCACAGCTTTTCTGACTTATTCTATCAATCACCAAATATTTATTACAAGTCTTGCTTTCCTTATCTTTTACATGAAATTAGCATAACTCACTCAAACAATAGGGACAAGAAAGTTGAAAAAGCTGAATTCAAAATCTGGCTTTCCTGCTTCCCAGCCTCACAACCCCACCTCATCTTCCAGCCCAGAGGCGGCCACACCTATTCATAGGCCTGGTTTCAGCGAAGCTTACGTAAAGCCTCACATCTTTACCTGTGCCTTCCTCTCTGCATCACACCTACTTCACGCCCCCTCCTTCCCCCAGCCACCGCGCCTCACGGGTACCTGTCCCTGCAGCAGGAGTCGATGCTGAGCTCGTCGATGCCCCAGTACTGGATCTCCTGAAGGAAGGACAGCGCGCACAGCTGCTCCATGACGTGCAGTCGGCCGGTGCGATAGTAGTGCAGGACATAGCGGAACGCCTGCGAGCTGCGGTCGAAGAAGTACTCGTTGTCTACTGGGTTGGCGTCGTCGCAGAGCTCTAGGGGGCTGGGCGCTGCAGCCAGGGCTCCCAAACGGCGGTAGGAGGCCACCACCACCGCCAGCTTGCCAAGGCGCGTATGCGGGAAGCAAGACAGCGCCTGTTGCGAGAGTACGAAGCGGCTGCCGCCTACGTTGACCGTGAAGCAGTCCCCAAGCGCTAAGGGCTCCCCTTCACCCTCGCTGCAGAAGACGCTGGAGTCGAGAGAGGCCAGGGAGCAGCTGTCCAGCGGTGAGCCCAGCGGTGTCCGGCCGCTATGAGGCAGCTCCATTCCCGCCGCCACTGCCTGAGGGCGCCACAAAGTTGGGAACACGCTGGAAGCCTCGGTCCCGCGAGGGCGGTGGCACAGCCCCTGGTGACGGTCGGGATTTCCCAGCCTCCCGAGGGAGGTGCCTCCCACTCGCGCACCCCTCCTCGCTCCACCCGCTGTGCTCGTTCCCCTTCTTGTCGCTAGGGAGCTGCGAGTGCGCGGTAGCAGCGCACAAGTGGCAGAGCTGGGAGGCTGGGATGAGAGGAGAGGTTTCGCCAAGGGAAACTGTTATGTATAGACCCAGCCCAGGACAGCCCCAGGAAAAACAGCCAGTCGCTGTGGCTCTTCCCGGATGTACGCACCCCTCCGCCCCCAACTCTGGAATTGGGATCCCCATCTTCAGTAGCAGGGCTTGGAGTGCGGAGGGGTTGGGGAAGGGAGTGGGAGAGGGAGGTGTAGCTTGGAGTGGGAAGAAGGAGGGGTGCGTACTCTTAGCCTGGCGCAAGCAAAGACTATGGCGAGACTCACTTCTCCAGGCAGAAGATCAAAACAAAGTTTAGAAAGCCAAGGAGGTGGTAATTGGGTCTGAGTCCTTGCTAACTTGAGGGCTTGTATTTCCCCCCTTTTCTTTCATTGTAAATATTGTAGAGTCTCAATAGGGGTGTCTGCTCCAGGTGTGAGCGCGTGGGGTAGGGTACCTGTAGACCTGGGCTGCAACCTTTCTTCCCACTTCATTCTTGTCCCAGTCTGATTTGTTATTCCTGCTCTATTTTCTTCTCCCTCTTCCTTTAGTCACCCCGCTTTGTTGAGATATAAGGCTAATATGATGAGTTTTAATTAAAATCCTAGGGGGTCACTAAGAACTAGAGGTCATCATTGGGAGCTCCCACCCACTGGGGTGTCCATCCTGCATTGAGACACTGTGCATTCTTAAACTTTCCGGGAGAACAGGCTCTCAGCTTAGGAAAGGAGAGAGGCGGAAAGACCAGGGATAGCACAAATTTGGGTTGGAACAGGAATTTAAACATTAGCGACCTCGCGGTAATTGGAGAAGCCTAGAGCAGATTCCCAGGTGAGACTAAAAATGTGCCCTCCGGACCTCTTGGAGCTGCGCCCTAGCCAACGTGTTGGACTCGGGGCAGATAAGGTGGAGTGGAAACTCACCTGCAGCTCCTGGCACACCTGGGCTGCGCTCAGCTGGCACCGCTGATAAAGTAACCTTCCTTTAATTCTCCTAGTCCATGCGTGAAGCCGGACTTGACCCGTCTGGAAGAGAAACTGCTCACAGATCAGCTCTTTGCCAGAACTTGCTGCCACGCTGAGCCTTCACCATTTAGCGGCTCCGGGCCTCTGGGCTCTGGGAATCAGCCGCCCCCGCCAGGGAGGACTCCAGCCAAGGTGCCTAGCTCCAGCTGAACGGGTAGATGGAGAAGAGGGAGGAAAATAAGACCAAGGGAGGAAGTGAGGCGCTCAGTGATTCTGAATATTAGATTATGCTGAAGACATCTCAAGAATTATAGCATTTGATTCCAGTTCTCCTCAATCTGTGTTCAAATAAATGCCAAAATTTCCAGACTATTTAAGTGTGCTAAACTTGGAATTAGGGCAGTTCTATGAACTGCTTTGTGTGTTATGGGTCAAGGTTTTCTCATTATTTCCAACAAATATCTCAGAATACTAATTTTTTTTTCCAATTGCATTTTCTAAGAGGGTGAATCGTACTCATCTTTTTTTTTTTTCTAGTAAATAATTTTACAAAGTATACAGGTACAAAGGATGAGCAGGTAGCTTGATACAATAGGGAGATCTTTTCCATATATTAGACAGTAACGTAGTGGTTTAGCTCTGGCTTTGTCACTTGGCTGTGGGACCCCCAGCTGCATTTATTTCATGAATCTCAATGTCTCAGCAAAATTTCCAATTTTAATAAAAACACCCTGCATTTATTGAGTACTTTTTTTGAGAGAGAGAGAGAGAGAGAGAGAGAGAGAGAGAGAGAGAGAGAGAGAGAGATTTTAATATTTATTTTTTAGTTTTCGGGGACACAACATCTTTTTTGTTTTGTATGTGGTGCTGAGGATGGAACCCGGGCTGCACGCGTGCCAGGCGAGCTCGCTACCGCTTGAGCCACATCCCCAGCCCTTGAGTACTTTCTTTATACCAGAAAGTTCTGAAGTCTCTTCACTCATGTATTAACTTATTTTAGTTTAATAACAACACTATGAGGTAGCAAATCTACACATCTTAAAAAGGGGAAACAGACACAGAGGAATTAAGTGAATTACTTAGGATCACAATACAAAGTCGAACCCAGGACTCAAGGTCAGAGTTTGCCTTCATAAGCAAATGCTTGGAAATTATAATTTTTGTTGATTTTAAAAAATAAACCAGTATGGCTGCTTTTGTTTTATTTATTTTTTTTTGCAAGTTTCTAAAGAAGGAGATATATTCCTTGATATACCAGGCATGATTTTAGGTGCTTAAGAGGCATCAGGGAAGAAGATAGACAAGAGCTCTGTCCTTATGTAGCTTACAAATTATCTTGTGAAAAGAACAGGGCAATTTCAAAACATTTGAAATTGTATAATATTTCTAGTTTTGTTGCCTTAATAGTTATCCATTTAGTTACCTGTCATCTGTATAAAAAGTACTTCCATTTAGAAAACACAAAGAGGCTAAAATTATCTCAGTAAATAATTCTTCATCATGTTTAGGTATTATTATTATTATTTCATAAGGTAGTAGAGCTCTCCTTTATGCTGAGGGAAAACTTCTAAAATCTCCATTACAGATGATTTAGGTATTGCAAAGGGCAAAAGTCCATAGTTCTGTTAAGCCTTATTTGTGCCATGATTAGTGATAAAGTTCTACACTAGCTTTACAAATCATGGTGAGGAAGGAAGAAAAATTTTAGGAAGAATGACAATACTAGGTGAGAAGGGAGATTTTGAACAAGTAACCTGAGGCTGTGAAAGGTGTTTGAGGCTTGCAGATCTCCTCTACTGCCTCCAAGCCCCTAACCCTGGCTTGTAATGAGTGGTGTTCTATAGGAGTAATTATAATACTAACCACTTTCAATGTTAGGCCCTTTGCTAAGCATCTGACATCTCACAATGATTCTATGGAGTATGTATTGTCATCCCTGGTTATAGATGTAGACTTTGACATACATGAGAACTAAGTAACTTCCAACTTACATAGTGAACATGTGAGAGGGTGTACAGAGGAATTGAAACCAGGGTCTTTTTGACTCCAGATTCTATCTCTATGGCTAAGACTTTAAATTCTTACTTTGGGTTTTGACTATGAATACAACAACTTACACTTATTAAGGCAATAAGAATTAGAGACAAGATGACTAGACAACTGGGAGAGTATAAACATAAAAAGACTTTTTAAAAGTATAGTCTTTCAAATACCAAAACTCTCTTGTTTGTTCCTTGTCTTGTTACTTTGAATCTATGGACACTCTTCCCTCCATGATTACCTAGGTTTGAGTCAGAGGCCAGTGACAAGCATGTGAAAAATAAAAAAGCAGCTGTGTCTATTCACAGGATACCTTTCCTGGTTCCTGATTCTGACTGTGATACACCACAAGGTAGGCCAAGAGGTGAAGAATTACTCACAGGTATTGGGGATGGTGAGGTCTTGCTTTCCATTTCATTCCTACATGGCAGTGGGGGGGGGAGTGACTGTCATGTGGGAGGCTTTGCAGCATTGCCATGTGAACACTAGACAATTTAATGGGTTTAGGCATATTTTCGATTTGTGAGATGTTATATTCAGGTGATTTTCCATCAAGATTCCTGTTATGAAATCATTAGTTTTTGGCTTCCTCTGTCAAGTCTACCCGTTATCAATTTGAGTTTTGAATCTGCAGCTGCAACTGGTGTTTTTAATTCTTTCATTTTTTAAAAATTGGTATTCTAAATTCATTAATGATCAATTTCCATTTGTAACAGTCACATTTTCAAATTGAATAAAAAGAAAAATCATGATGTACTTTAAATGTCTGACACTAGTGATGATTATGAAAATAAAAGTTGAAAGTCATTTGACTTATTTTAGAAAATTTTATTATCAAAATATAGAATGTTTTGTTGAGATTTTTATAAAATAATGGGGATATTAACATTATGTTCTGTTTTTCATGATCCATTTGAATAGTATATTTTGGCGTTTTGTGAAATCATCTTTTATATCAGTGTTTTAAAGTTATAATGCAGACATGATGTTAAGTCATTGAAATGTTTTTTAAGGAAAATATACACTTTGGGTATTAATTTATATCTAAAATACTGAAAGTTTACATTTATCTTGGTAATTGAAGGAGATAGGAGTGGATACTTTTGAAAAAAGAGCTTCATAGAATTCAATTTGGGTAAACTCTACACTTTTCCTTTTGAGTCTCTTCATTGTAGACTCATGCATTCATATTCAATTCTTTAATTTTTATCACCCATCAACAATCTAGACCATATTTCATGTGTAGTGTACATACCTTTGGCCCTGTGTTTGATTTCCAAGGAACTGACAACTAGATAACTCAGTTATAATTACATTTAAAAATGCTTTTGTGTATGGACAAAATGGTTTCATGTTCCTTCTCTTCATTGCATTGAGATACGTTTAAAGAAAAAAGAAAGTCTGATGAATTTTATCTATTCATCTTTCATGTGCCTTCTAGGTGCTTGGAATAAATCCTCCCAACTGTACGACAGCCCACTCTAATGCAGAATTTAGCTTAATGTGGGCTTGTTCTGGATTCCTTCCAAGGGGAGGCAGTTATCTTTGGAAGTACCCAAGAGCTCATTTTTATAGCCTAGTCTGCTACAGAGATAGCAGCAAGCATTGATGAAGGCAATGATGAGGATAATAATAAGATATTAATAGCTGCTATCTTTACTTATTCAATCACTGTTCTGCCCTTTATTGACTTGTGACATTAACAAGTTCTTAGGTCTTATTTTAATCATTTCTAAAATAGAGGTAACAATAGTAATTTATGTTATTGCTTAAAAGTTAAATGAGATAATCCATGTGAAATGTTAAGTACACTGTCATATTATTATTATTATTATTATTGCCTTTTATTATTATGTCTTAGGAATGTTTTTCTGATATCCCTCTCCTATAACTTATGTAATACTTATTAAGCGATAAGAACTTTACAAACATTATCTCATTTTGTGCATGTTTCACATAACCGTGCAAAGAAGCCGCTGGTATTATTCTGATTTTTTAAGTTATCAAGTTCAGAGTGTTGGCCTATGTTCTCTCATGTCACACAGATAGGAGATAGAGTCTCAAACACCTTTGATTCTAAGCCCGTATTTTCTTTGAAGACCAT